TTTATCCATAAAAAAAGGTCATCAGAAAGACTAGTAAAGAGTCATATGCAAAATTGTTCATAGCAAAAAAAAAAAAAAAAAAAGACAGGAGGATGAATAATCTAACTAAATAATAACAGTCACTATTTAAGTGAATAAATAATAGGATTTCTATGTAATAGAATATTCATTTTAAATGAAGTTTGGAAGGTGTGTTTATGACAAGTAAAAAGAGCAAAATATGAAATTATATAATCAGTTAATCATATAAAATATATGCAAAGAATTAGTAAGAAGGAAATAAGTATACCAAATATCTCTAGAATTTCAAATTATGGATGATTTGTTAAATTTTTCTCTGCTCCCCAAATTTTCCCTGTCAATTGTCTATGATGAGTACCAAAAGGAGGAATTAAAAATTAGAGATATAAAATATGGAAATAGTCTTAAAGGAAAAGATATCTTTGCTAGTATACAAACATTACTCTTCCCTAATTCCTACCTATAATGTATAATCATATAACTTTATATGATTATTTATGCTATTATTTGACTTAATTATCATTGTGTTGTTGTTGTTGTTAAGTGCCGTCGAGTCGGTTCCGACCCATAGCGACCCTGTACAGGGTTTCCGAGGGTGTAAATCTTTACGGGAGTAGAAAGCCTCATCTTTCTCCCGCGGAGCGGCTGGTAGTTTCGAACCGCTGACCTTAAGGTTCGCAGCCCGATTCGTAACCACTACGCTACATAGATTGTGCTATATTAATATTCCTACAATGCTGAAAAAGGTAATGAAAATGTTTTTTCCAATGTCAGATATGTAATATAAATTCCTAGAAAAGTAAAACCTGAAATGCAATTCTAGAGCCATATTTGAACCCAAATATGGGCTAGTTTCCTGTAGGAAATGTTACTCCATTTTACACACGATCAAGCAAAATTGTTATTGCTGTAGTTATTGTTAAGCATAACCAGAAGAGGATTTACTCCACAGTCATGCCTTTTTTACTTTCATATGTTTCAACAAAGATTATTGCTATAAACAAGGGAGCCAGATTTTCTTCTATGAACCCCATTCACCTGCAGAGATAGCGAAAGTAGAGGTCTGTTTAATTAGAGCACAGAAACATGAAAAATCCCATGTTCCATGTGTTTTAAAGCAAGTCAGTGATTATTCACATTAAGAAAGTGTGCAGATTTACAATTTTCCTATCCTCTTTTCAAACTTTCCTAATAAAGTTTAGGAGTGTTTATGACAAGTAAAAAGGTCAAAATATGAAATTATATATTCAGTTAATCATGTAAAAAATATATGCAGAAAGCCTTTACAGAATATAGAACCTTAGGTGGAATCCTGAGTCCCATCCAGAACCTTATGAGGTGGGAAATTCCCACTAGAAAATACAAGCAGATTGGAACAGCTACAGTGACAGATGATGCACCTTCATGATGAACCTGACCTATACTCAGAGCAGTAGTTACTCTAAACATCAACAAAGAGGGAAAGAGCCTTCACATCAAGTATCAATGCTACCCCCTCTGTACACAGGGTAGATAGGGACAGGCAACTTAGACATTGGCTACCTAAAATGAGGGGGCAATGAAGGCACGAAGTGACTGGCTTACAAGGTTTTAAGAGGGAATTTAGTTTAAGAGTATAGGGGGAAAGAAAGAGTCCCCACTGAACAGCTGCCATCTTGTCTAGATGGGTCTGGTGAAAAGAGATGGGGATAAGATTCATAAGATTGAATAGTGAATAATTGTTATCATAACTAATTGCAACTGTCACAATTATAAAGGTAGAGAAATTTTGTAACAAAAAAAAGGGGATTGGTTAATATTACAGTCCAGAAACAGAGGACTCTAGAACAATCAAGAGAGGAACACACAAGCAGAATGCGGGACCATATCCAGAGAAGCAGCAGTACCAGAGATGGAGGCAGAGATGGGGGCATGGAGAGGGGGAGTGGCTGAGGACTCTAGGTTCATGGACTAAGAAGAGAGGGTCTAAGAGCTGGTGGCCAGGAGCAGACTTGCAGAATGTGCCCTTTGGAGATGTAAATTATTATATATGCCTGAGTGGTTTTTTGTTTATTTGTTTGTTTGTTTGTTTTTTAAAAAAGCTGAAGTGGATATAGAGAAATACTGTTAACTGATGGCACATGGAGGGGATTATAATCATTGTAATGAAACAAGGTATATGATTTGTTGAATTTAAAACTCATGATATACCCTGTAAACTATCACTCAATCCACAATAAAAACTTTAAATCATATATATATATACAGAGAATTAATAAGAAGCAAAGTAAAACTACTGTTGGTTTTGTTATTAAGTGCTGTCAAGTCAGTTCTGACTTATAGCAACCCTGTATAGGGTTTCCAAGGAGCAGCTAGTAGATTTGAACCATAAACCTTGTGGTTAGTAGTTGAATGCTTATCCTACAGTGTCACACCAGGAGTCCAGTTTTACTATGGCCTTAAAAATTTATTCATCTTTATTCCAAAAAATAAGTCATTGTCACCATTTAAACTAAGAAAGAAAGCTTAATTCATTATCACATGAATGATTTTTTTTTTTATTATCCTGGAAAATCTGCATTTAAAACAAATTTCATAAAAGAATGAGGGAGAGACAGTTGGAAACCACTAAGAATTAAAACGTTGTTTTGTTGTTAAGTACCCTCGATTCAGTTCTGACTCATAGCAAGCAGCGACCCTGTATAGGGTTTCCAAGGAGTGACTGGTAGGTTTGAACCACAAACCTTGAGGTTAGTAGTCTAGTGCTGATCCTACAGCTCCACACCAGGATTCTATTAAAAATGAAAATACATAACTAGAAATAATCTAGTTTAAAAAAAAATTTTTTTTCATTTTCAGTGTTTTGTTTTGGAGGCATGTAGACAATGCATTTGAGGGTAATGGGTAGACAAATGTTTTTAAACAGATAGCTGGAAACCAAACTGGTGGCTCTCTTTGTGAACAAAAAGCCTACCTAGCACATGGTTGAAGTAAGACTGCAATCAACTGAAACAGTGGCAAAAGCATCCCTGAATTACTTCAACATTGCCAATAGAATTGGCCTAATCCTATCCACCAGCCATTTCTTCTACTGCCCTACCCCACCCCTAGATCCCCATCTCACCTTTTAGACTTGGGCCTGGTATCTGTCAGGGGGATGCACAAACTATCAACACTACTTTATGTCAAGTCATATAACTCTTGCTATCTCTTATTTTGGGTTTTCTGCCTTGTGCTTCAGTGAAGTAAAGGGTGCAGTCAAGTGAGTTGTTGCCTCCATTCAGCTAAAGAGGAAGACCCACCATATTTGCTTTCTCTGTTTGCGGAGTATAAGTCATGGGAACAGTAACTGGGTGCAACCAAGATAACATTGAAATATCCATATGCCCATAGCTCGTTTCCTGGAGAAATGTAGAGTTTAGAGATTGTAGACTTTAGAGCTTGCTTTGTGTATGTATGTGTGTTTCAGGACTTTGAAATCCAGACTTGGGGAAGGTTGAATTAAAATATCTCTGAACTCAAGGGCCAGATATACATGTCGCCCAAAGGAAGCAGCAGCAGGTAGATTAAGTTGTATAGAAGGAATGCAATGACTGTTCTCTTCAGCAAGTCTTTTTTTTTTATTGCAGTTTCTGATATTTTCAACAATTATCATCAAAATTTTTCTGAAAAATGTAAAAGACAGTATGTGACATCTGAAAAGGCCATTGAAGCAGTCTAATGTAAACCCCACATGTTACAAATGAAAAAAACAAAACAAAACTGTGACTTGCTGGGGCTGAGGAAATTGTCCAGAAGCACATAGCATAGAAGTAGCAGTGTTAGAAGAAAATCCTAGGTGTCCCAGTGGCTGGGTTGAAGGTCTTACATCCTGATAGCCCTGGACCCTCCTCTGACCTTTGGTGGGAATTCCTGTTGGCTTCATGATCTCCATGAGGTTCTTGTGGCGTGAGGGAAAGGATGAGATGGAGGTCAACAGTCTTGCTTCTTCTTGCCTTAGTATCTGAGGACTGAGAGCATACCTTTAGGTCTTGGCTTATTCTTCTCAAAGTGGTGACAACTTTGCCTGTTCCTACCACTCCATATAGGAGCTCTGGTAGCGTAGTGGTTGCGAATCGGGCTGTGAACCACAAGGTCAGCAGTTCGAAACCACCAGCTGCTCCGCAGGAGAAAGATGAGGCATTCTGCTCCCGTAAGGATTTACAGCCTTGGAAACCCTGTGCAGGGTCACTATGAGTCGGAACAAACTCCACAGCACATAACAACAACAAACACTCCATATGCAAATAGAGAAGAAGCACTAGATGCAAAGTTGACATAAGAGTCCCAACTGTGTCATTTTAAAAGTATCTGCCAATCAAGATGTTTGGGCAAATTCCTTAACCTATTTGTACCTCAGTCAACTCAACTTATATAAAAAAGAGATCATATTACCTGCTTTACCCAATTATTGTAAGATCGAAATGGGAAGATGCAAAAATAATGGTTTAAGACTTGTGAGAAGAAAATATGGAAGACAAAGTTGGGTGGATGATTCCTGAAACCATTTAATGAGGTGAGCCAAAGTAGTGTCCACTGGCTAGTACCCAAAAGGCAGGGCTTGTGGGGGTTCTCAGTGGTGATATACACATCAGCTATCTGCACAGATGGTGGTGTGTATAAGACTGGATGAAATGGGATGGTACAAGCTAGTACGGCCATGGAGGAGGTTGGCCTTCCATCCACTCAGACCACTCTGCTCTCAACCAACTAGGCCTGTGGTGCTCAGCAGAACAAGTGCCTCTTGACACTGCTTCCCTAACAAATGAAAAAATAATGCCCTTGAACCAAGAGTGAAACTGAACTATCTAAGGAAAACACTTTGAGCAAACACTAAGAGCTGAGGGAACCCATCTGATTAGAAGGGCTCCCCTCCAGAGCACGTTGGGTTCACACCTTCCACAGGAGGAAAGCAGAAGCTTCTCCCAAGGTGGTAACTGGAGGATATGGGGACTGAGGCCATGTCCACCTCCACATCCCAAATATTAGGTTTCCTCGTATCCAACCTGGGACTAGTGGGCTGCATCGCTGCCACTGAGATGGACATGTGGGGTATACAGGACCTGTATGAAAATCCTGTCACTTCCGTGTTCCAGTACCATGGACTCTGGAGAAGCTGCACAAGGCAGAGCTCAGGGTTCACCGAGTGTCGGCCCTACTACGCCAGCCTGAGACTTCCAGGTAGGCACTATCTGACACCATATGGTAGGACCAGGTGAGGGCAGGGAAGGGACTGTTGGTTCTCATCACAGCAAAGAGGGATCTCAAAAATCACCATATGACTGAGCCACACGCTTACCTCTCAGTGTGAGCCTTGTGACTTTGGCTTATAAAGTGTGAATAAGAAGAAAAGTTAACCACATGTCAGAGATGGTGATAGTCACAGAGATACAGACAGATACCATAAGAAGAAAATGGGAGAATTCCAAATAAAAGGGATTGCTAGTAAAGAAACAGTTCATGAGAAAGTTGGTCTGTCTTAGGAGTGTGTTCATAATTCAGAGTCAACTAATGTTTGTCAATCAACTATGTGTGTTTGTTGTGCCTGCTACCGACAGCACACACATGGGGATAAGGAAGAAAGATGGTGAATATTTTGTTGCAGAAAAAGGAAAAAAAGTGTATGGAAAGGTCATTTCATTTCATTTCCAATTCAATTCCATTTTTTTGGAAAAGCTGGAGCCTCTGAGGGTGCAAAAAAAAAAAAAAACAACTTAGTGCCATTAGCTTATAAATGTCTCTTTTCTGCATTTGTGTTGAAAAGTTCTGGTATACACTGCTAAGAATCAATGTATGCCAAAATATGTATAATTCTACATCCTTCTGCCCATGAAAGATGAAACAAGTTAAATCCCTGCTTTTAATATGATAATTACCTCAAATATGCATCAGAGCAATTTTTCATCCCAGATATTATAGGAGTGCTCTTTGAATTTTGTTATTATTATTATTATTTGGAAAGCAAAAAGAAAATAAAAGGTCAAGCTTATCAGTAGTTTTGAGGAGTGACCAAGATGTGAGTGTGGTGGGAAGGGAGAAGAGTTCTCTCTTTGAAGCAAGCACCTGGTAAACATGTATACAGAAATTAATTTGCACAAAACTGTAAAGGCCTGGGTAGCCCTTGAAATTAAATTGTGAAACACAATTCAATTAATTCATCTTTGTTTTCAGAAAAAATATCAAAGATGAGTGAAAGAGTAAAAGAATCTAATATTTATTCAAATCCTTTTTTTTTTTGGCACACTACCAGTAGTGGGGAGTCCCAGTGTGGTACTGTGGGTTAATGCACCAGACCGCAAAGCCGTTTGAACTGCAAGTTTAGCGGTTCAAGCTCACCAGTCACTCCTCGAAAACCCTATATAGGTAGTGGTTACTAATCAGGCTGCGAACTGAAAGGTCAGCAGTTTGAAACTACCAGCTGCTCCGCGGGAGAAAGATGAGGCTTTCTGCTCCCGTAAAGATTTACAGCCTCGGAAACCATGTGCAGGGTCGCTATGGGTCGGAACCAACTCAACGGCATTTAACAACAACATCAACATGGGTCTGAAATGACTCGATGACACTTAACAACAACAACAACCAGTATTGGAGGGCCAACAAGACCTGTGACTTAATGTAAAGATTTGCCTGGGGAGTGGGGAGGTAGAACCCAGTAGGGGTAGAAAGTCAGGCTGGTGGGGGGCAAGTGGATTATGCTAGAGTTAGGGGAGAGCTCAGAAGGAAAGAGATGTAGTAGGTACCATGGCATGTTAAGCTGCTTGCTAAACCTAGCTTTAACTACTAAATGAAGAAAACAAACTGATCTTGTATTGAAAATGACAGCATGACTTCCCATGAGCTCATACTTAGACTCCTTGCACCTCTTTCTCAGGCTCTACCACACAGTATCAATCTCTGGCTCACTCCATATCACACTTCTCAGATACCAGGCTCCTCAAATCTTCCCACACTACTAATATTTCCAAACCTCATATCTGCTGTCCTCGCATCTTTCCTATTCTATTAAGTGATCCTGTCCTCTATGACCCCTTGCCTCCTCTCTACATTGAAAGTTCCTCTCTGCAGAACAAGATTCCTTCCGCCATCTCCCAACCAAGGCTCACCTATCTGCCAGTTTCTGAAGAGCTCACACCATCCCACCTGGAATCCCACTCTGCTGATCAGCCCCTCTCCTTCCTGCCTCTTACATCCCTCTTCCCCATTTGTCTATGTCCTCCTTTCTTGGAAGTCTTCCCTTGATTCTGATTATTGTCAAGTGCTGTCTCTCTTCTAAGTCACTGACAATCAAAGTCAAAGACTAAATTTTCCCACCACCTCTCCCTCTTCACATTTCCCAGTCTGGTTTCTAAATTGCTGACTTGTACATTTGTCTCATTCAGCCTCTGTGTTGCAGGTTCCTTCAACTAGATAAGAATTCTTTCTTCAGATTCCAACATAGGGTCTGGTACATAGTGATCATTCAGCAAGTGGTTGATAGCCAAAGTGAACTTAAGAATACTTCATTTTAAGTGCTCATATGAGCCATTAAAAACAAGTCAAAAGTTACCCCAAAGAAGCACAGTAGATTACCTTTGTGCTACAATTATTAGTTATTATGGCTCCATTCCTCAAAAAGGAACAGTCCTCCCTTAACTTCAAGTAGATTAATATACTCATTCAATCATCTATTCAACAAACATATTTTGTATGTCTGCTATATTACAAGAATCAGAGTTTCAGGGACTATAATAATCAGAGTAGTTAAAATCGGCTTCTTGGTGGCTTAATACAACAGAAGTTTATTCTCTGCCCATATTGTGAGGGTGCAACCTCCTCCTTTTTGTAACTATGCCATTCAAGTTTGTTGAGGCGGAGAAGAAAGGATTGAAGGATGAACGCACACAGTATCGTAACTGCTCCAGCCTGGGAATGGCTCATGTGGCTTCCACTCACAATCTATTGACCAGAAGTAGTCATATGGCCCTGTGGGCTGGGAGATAGGAAGCATATGACTGCTTTCTGAGCACCAACTATGTCTGCCACAAGGACCAATGGGCAGCAACTTCCTGGGCTGCAAAGGAACCACCATACTAGTTTCAATTCTTCTAGAAAAATAAGAGTACAAATGCACACCACTGAATTACATTCATTCTTCAGACAAATATGAATATTTTTTTATGTATAAAATATTGTGTGATATAAGACAATATATAATGTGCTGTTTCAGAAACTAGACATTCTGGTGAGGATGAAGAAGAATCAGGAAGGAAGGGAGCTTTTGTGTTATCAAAATTTCTTCCCATTTAATTATCAAAAGAGTGCATATATGATCACAGAAAGGAAAAAAAAAACATACTTCTGATTTTTAAAAAATCAATTTTTCCAAACAGTAAGGAAGAAGAAAGGAATAATGGAGGATGGAGAAGAAAGGGAGGAAGGGGTGGTATATGGGAATGGATTTGGTGTTACTGGGTACATACTTCAGGTTTCCACTGAAAACCAGGTGAAGAACTCATAGAGAAGAAACACAGCTGCCACTCAATGAGCCCTCAGGTGATTCAAATCCACAAAGGGAGAGGCCCTGGATCATCAGAGAAGGGCACTAGGGCACAATGAGCTGGGAGAAAGACTTCCTGGAATCCTAAGGACTGAAGACAGAGTGTGTGGTGTTGCCACGATGTCCTTAGGGCTCTTTGAAACTGTGGGTCTGTGTCTTTGTCAGTAACCTTGGTGCCAGAAACCCCTACTGTACCTGTTTTGCATCTCTCTCAACACACAGCATGGTCTATGGCAGGCATTGAGGGATTGGGGAAGGTGAAGGGGGAATGGGTTGTATCTCCCAGTTGTACTGGGAAAAGTCTACCTGGGCTGAGACAGCATTGGAACAGAGGGACAGCCCTTGAGAGCTACCACAGGACTGTACACCAGCTCCACCTCTCCAAGTCACAGGACAGGATTCCACTGAAAGTCAGTTCTTGGAACTGGGGTTACAGAAAAGGAGATATTTTAAATGGCTGTTAGCTTGCGGTCATGGAGAATATTTTCTAGTGAAAGAGTTGAGAGCAGCCCATCCTTATGCACCAGGCATTTGGCATTTGGCATCCGGAAATGCAAATATGACTCAAACCTTGGCTGACTAAGATAAAGAATGGGTTGACTAGAAGGACCCTCCAAAGCTGGAGACAGGAATGTCAGGAAACTAAGCAGCCAGAGAAGAGACTGGAAGCTGGCTGTGGATACTGAGGAGCTGGATGGACTAACACTAACGTACTGAGGCCTGATATGTAAAGGGAACTCAACCATTGGAAGCAGCTGCTTACAGCATTTTTTTCTTTTTTGGGAATGACAAGGAGCCTGAAACAGAGGGGCTACACAAAAATGTCTGGAGAGAGAAATGAAAGGTTATGAATAGCTGGTACAGAGAATTTTATTTTGATCTAGAGCATCTACTTCCTTCCATCTGAGAAGCAAGCCTTAGGGTTCTATAAAGGCATGAAGAAGGTACCATCATAATACTTTAATGAACAATCCTAGTTACATCCAGTTATTAAACTCTTACTAAGTGGAAATATTTTTCTCTCAAAATCTCACTTAATTTTCCCATCATATGATAAATATGTATCATGCCTATTTGGAGTCTGAACTACAGAATAATTAAATTCAGTTCAACAAATCGTATTATGTAATCTATAGGTAGATTGATATGAATAGTGGTGGTAGCAGGATTGTTTATAATTGTTTAATTTGGTTTAATTTCAAGAGATAGCATATGATCAAGAGCCAATGATACCGAAGGAAGAAGTCCAAGGTACACTGAAGGAATTGTCAAAGAACAAGCACCAGGAATTGATGGAATAAAAATTGAAATCTTTCAAGAACGTGAGGCAGCACTGGAGGCACTCACTCGTCTATGCCAAGAAATTTGGAAGTCAACTATCTGGCTAACTGATTGGAAGAGATCCATATTTGTGTCTATTCCAAAGAGAGGTGACCCAATGGAATGCGGAAATCATCGGACTATATCTTTGATATCCCATGTGAGTAAAGTTTTACTAAAGGTAATACAGAAGTGGCTGCAAATATACATTGACAGAGAACTTCTAGAGGTTCAAACCAGATTCAAAAGAGGCCGTGGAATGAGGGATATCATTGTTGATGTCTGATGGGTCTTGGCTGAAATCAGAGAATATCATAAAGATGTT